TTTTATGGTTTCTTGCTCCATGCAAGTAATTACAAATGCTTAACTTTTAAAAAACATATTTCTATACTTTTTTGTATACCTGATAATCTATTATCTAATCTCTTTACTGAGCTATTTCTGCTATCTACTGCTTCTTGCATATAGTATTTATTTCATTGTTAATTTCCCCTAAAAGTTTAATTTAGGGGAAGTTAGAAAGGATGCGGTGTACGATGTGAATTCATCTAAATGGCCCACAATAAGGTCTTACCTTGCTTAAATTGAGGGAGGGTGTTAAGATCACCCTGGATTATTCAAATTGTTCCTAAATCCAAGGCAGATTATCTTTGTAAGAGACAGAGAAGACACACACACACAGGGAGAAGTAGAAAACCATGTTTAGATCGAAGTGGAGAATGGACGTTGCAGTCACATGCCAACAAATTCCTGGAACCATTAGAAAAAAAGGAAGCATGGTCTCTCCATTTTGGGGACTCAAATATATTCGAGACAGATATATATAAAATACTGTTAAGTTCCAGGTGTACATGAAAACAAAGGGATTCTTTGAATATCCTAAGAAAACTAGCTCCAATCAGTAAAGTTTTCATATTAATCATCAGAAGGCAGTGATAAATCTGGTCTCCATGAATGCTTAGATTCAACCTCTGCTGCCAAAATTAAAGTCCTGAAAGCTGGATATAGCTCATCTTTTGATAACATCACTTACATGCGTTTCTACTATACTTCCATTTTGGGCATACTTCTTTTATATTCAAATTTCTTTTGGATAACCACTCTGCCTATTTCCCCTCTCATGGAATGCAAAATTAAATAACCTCTATCAATTGTCTACTTTTTAAACTACCTTCTTAAATCCTCACAATCTTGACAAAATAATGACACTGCAGGTGTTACAGTATTATAGAGGTTAATAAAGGTCACAAAGTTGGGATTCAAGTAAGTGTCAGGCTTTCAAGTCCATTTCCCCATGACCTTCTAAACAAGCCATCTTTTATTCCCAGAGTACTCAATGATTCTAGGTATGTTTCCTTTTCTTATAAACTGGCTCTCCCCCCAATCTTTTTTTTTTTAAGATTTATTTATTTATGCATACAAGAGCTGGGGTACAGCAGGCAAGGGGTTTGTGTGTGTGAAAGGATTCACCAGAGACAGAGTGGGGACCAGAACAGGAAGACTGACCTAAGTACATTGCTGAGAGGAGCAGTGGCTAGACAGGAGAGGTCTGCTGCACCATGTGGGTTGCTCCCTGGCCGGCTGGGGATCGAACTCATGCTGCAAGGGCTGTGGATTGCTTCATAGTGTGGTGCTTAACCCCTTGTGCCACCAGGGAGGCCCTCTCCTCCCATTCTTAAACCGTTCCTATCATCTTCAAGTTTATCTGCAAAAATCTTTATCTTGCTCATTCCCTGTTAAGGGAAACTGGGATTCCAGGTCACTAAAGTTTACACTGCTACTTTCTCTTCACTAGAGATAACCCAGCAACTGCAGGACTGAACTCTGTTTAAGAAACACTTTATCTGACTATACATGCCATCTTAAAAAGACTTATGCATCATCTCAGAGCAGTCCTTTTTAATCCCCGTGATTAATGTCCCCAAGTTGTTCTTCCAGTCACCGTGTTCCATTTTTATTCTAACATTTTTGGGAAAAGCACAAATTTCTCCAACTATGGGAAAATGTTATCTTTGTCCAGAAATATGAATTACTTATGCTCGGCTTCATTAAATTGCTTGTGAGGGTCTTCATCACATCTTTCGCCACTTAATTTTCTCTTTTCCTCCATAGGTTACAGGGATCTTTCTTTAAAGTCAATCTTTCTTTAAAACTGCCAAGAGTTGCTACTCCTTCCTTCAGTGCTCCAGGCACATGGCCAGTATTATTTTACAATCTTCCTCCAATTTCCCATCTTCCTTGAGGATTTTTGTTCACTATTGTATTGCAGCTTTCAGTTTAAAGCAGTTAAATGCCTTCAACAACTCCATCTGTGGAGGACAGCATATGAACCTTTGGTTCAGGAAATAAAGCTAACTCTGCACACCCAATTATTCTTCGTGTCTGTTCCACTAGTATTCTTCCAGTGGTTTGAATCTTTTTTTTTTTTTTTTGGGGGGGGGGTTTGTTTTGAATCTTATTCTCTACTTCTGGGCTATAGAAATGAGTAGTTGTGAAACACTGAACACTTCACTTTTTCTTAAACTCAGGTTTAAGAATGCGAGTTACTCATGAGGCACTATCTCTCATCTTATCAGGATGAAAAACTGTCAAAGAAATTTTAAAAACCTTAAAGTCAGACCACAAGTCAATGGTAGAACAAAACTCAAACTATGATTTAATGGCCCTTCTAGAAAATTTTACTGTGCTGAACCCAAGGATGTTCGTAATAGTAAAATGAACTACATGACACTAAATTTCTAGTACAGAAACAAAAACAAAAATACTAGTTAAGCAAAAACACAAACTGGCAAGTAATGCATAAAGTTACATTTACCAAGTTCTCTGTAGAGGCAAATAATTTACTACCTTTCCACAATAATTCTTTTCAAATCATACAGAAGGGAAAAAACCACTTCTTGCTGAATGGGTTTTAGATTACCACACTTAAATCAGGAAGTCAGAGGATTTGAAAATGATGAGTCAAATTATGTTCCCCAATTTACATGTGAAAATTAGAAATTTTCTAATGTAAAAGCAGTTTTGGGCTATGTATCCCAATAACACCTTCCAGATTTACATTAATAATTTATAACCCAGCAAAAATAATTCTTTTTACTGATTTACCTTTTGCAGAGTATCAGTAGAATGACCAGCAGAGAAGACAAGTTAATGTATTATTGAAACAAGCTACAAAGAAATAAGAGGTCATGTTTTTAGAACATATATACAATTCTTAGGTTTCTAAAACATTTTCCACATATATATCATCATTTTGTAAGTCCCAACCAATAGCACATGTTAATAACTCTCATTATATAAATGAGACAACAGGCTCAGTCTATGCCCAACACTAATAGGTCGCCAGCTTACGCTATTTCTGTTCAACCACATCTGTATGGATTTTAGTCTTAAACCTCAATTTCTTTACCTAAAAAAAAGGAGGATTAAACGTGAACTCTTGGAACAACAAAGCTGATTCCAAGTACACCATGTTTGAAAACAGTATTCTAAATTAACTTTTGTCTTATTCTAACAATTTCAATTCTTGAAGGTACAATATTCAATCATTAACCCCATCTCAGGATAACCTTTCATAAATGAGTCTACACAAAGAAAAATGATTGCCTGTACTTAATATACAATTATATTCCTAAAAACTTGAGAAAAATAAATTTTGCTAATTTAAAAAAAAAGGTTTTTTTCCCTTAAAAAACCAAAAAATTTTGGCCATTACAACCATCCACTTACTAGTTCAGGTGTTTAGGTGTTCTTACTATTTCAATGAAGCACAAGAAACAGATTCATCGGAATCATGAGCAAACTGCAATCAACTTTGAAGATTTCAGTTTTCAATTGAAGAGTTCAATTTAAAGTTGGTTGAGTATTATTCATTTAATACATGAATACATACTTTTTCGTCATCACAGGGCTATATGACTTACTTTATAACCACACGTTAGAGGAATCCGCTAAGGCTGGCAATAACTTATCATGGCACTCTAATTCTGAATAAGTCGTACCTGCTTGTCATAACTTTTACCAGCTAAAAACTGTCAAGGAGGGCTTCCCTTGGTGGCACAGCGGTTGAGCGCTGGGCTGCGAAGCCCGCAGCCTCCGCAGCGCTGGTTCAATCCCCTGCCACCGGCGAGGATCCCACATGGCGTGACAGACCTCTCCTGACTCGCCCGCTGCTCCTCTCAGCAGTGTATTTTCATCAGTCTGCCTGTTCTGTTCCCCACTCTGGCTCTGGTGAATTCTCTCACCCTCCTGCGCTTCTGACTGTACCCAGTGCTTGTATAAATAAATAAATCTTTAAATAAAAAAAAAAAGTCAAGGGGCCTCCCTGGTGGAACGGCACGTTGAGCACCACATGGTGAAGCTGTTCTCAGCCTCTGCAGAGTGGGTTTGATTCCCAGCTGGCCTGTGAGAAACCCACATGGTGCTGCAGACCTCTCCTGCCTCACCTGCTGCTTCCCTCAGCAGTGTCTTTGGTCTGTCTGCCTGTTCTGCTTCCTGCTGTGTCTCTGGTGAATTCTCTCACTCTCCCGTGCCTCTGACCTGTACCCTAGTTCTTGTATAAATAAATCTTTCAAAAAAAAAAAAAAAAAGAACAGCGATATAAAAAATAAAAAAAAAGTCGAGCTCCACTTAAAAAAAAAATCAACATTTGTGTTAATTGAAAAGGCATTTATTGAAACATTTTGAATGTCTGCTCTATGGAATGTTAGTTATAAAAAAGTTTGATTCCTAATGCTACTAAAGAATATCCAAAAGCTTTCATAAAATTATTTTCCAACATCCATTAATTATTTTAATACTAAATGCAGTATTTTAAACACTAAAATGTTTAAAGTGAGTGATACCTGCCAGTTTTAAATCTGAATTACTATAATTCATCCAAAACTATGTTACATATTTAAACTTTCAAAAAATGGCCTTTTATGCTCTTAACCACAAAATTAATAAAGTCATCAGCATACTTTGATACAATTGGTTATTAAATCTCAATTGGATTGGGCCTCCCTGGTGGCACAGCTGTTGAGCGCTGGGTTGCGAAGCTGCCCACGGCCTCTGTGGCGCCGGTTCGATCCCCGGCTGCTCCCCGGCCACCGGAGGAGGGTCCCACATGGCGCGCAGACCTCTCCTGCTGCCCGCTGCTCCCCTCAGCATTGTGCTTCGGTCCTTTTGCCTGCTCCGCTCCCTGCTCTGGCTCTAGTGATTCTCTCACCCTCCTGAGCTTCTGACTGTACCCAGTGCATGTATAAACAAACAAACAAACAAACAAATAAAAAAATGCCTCTATAAATCCCATTTGGATCAACTTTTAAAAATTGATCTTTTAGGTGATGTGGAAGCACTCTTATGCAGAAATGGGAAAGGCTTTTACCTAACCAAAGAACATACTACAAAAAACATAAATGAAAGAAGACGAGTACTTCAGGAAGGAGCAATAATTAGTCCAAATGAACCACATGGGCTCCTAGAAGGGAAAACAAATATTACAAGAGGACTTGGATTTCATGGAAATCTCAAACTGAAAAAATTCATTATTCCAGCACCTCAAACTATTTCTGTCCCTATAAATAACTTATGTCAATTCCTAATCTTAGCCACTAGTGGACTTTGGGAAGTTCTGGATATGGAGGAAGTCACTGCAATGGCAATAACAGCATTTCAAATGTATAAAGAAAGATACTGTTCTACCAAAAAAAGCAAATACTTGTCATCCAAAGGGTCTCTCACTTTCCCAATCAAAGTACCAAGGATTAGTGAATTAGAAAGTAATGCCCAGATACTGTTTCAGTCTAAATCTGAATCTACAGAAGGTATTTCAACTATGAATTTAAAAGAATTTTTGCTAGATCCAAAATTTTCTACACATTTCACAAGTAACCCTAAAAAATTAGAAACATTTCTACCAGAAGTGACTAATCGTGATCCTTACATGGAGAAAGAAACTTCTGGATTGAGTGGTAGAGATGGTGTGTCTAAAGATTCAAGAGAACAAGAAAAAGAATCATGCACTAAGAGTTTCTACAAAGGTGCAGCCGAGCATATTAGCCAGGTACTTGTAAATGCTGCCTTCTCAGCGGGCTCCAGAAACAACATTACCGTCATGGTGATACTTCTCAAGGGAAGTGAGTATCTGGCTCTGGCATAAAAGATAAAGTTCTAATTATTCAGAGTGCAAAAATACAACTCCACAAAGGCATTACTTCAGTGGACCATATTATTAGGGTGATATATCAGTAACACGCAAATCATTTTTAAGAATGTAATAAAGAAAATGTCAAAGCAGATTTTAGCTTATACTTTACCGTTTATGTATGTTCACTTTCCACGTCAAAAAAGAGAAAAAGCCAGTACTTGCTTTTTATACCACTTTATTCCAACCTGAGCACCTCATATAAAACTAAACACTGGTGAACTGTTTTCCTTACTAATCCTGAATCACTGTAAATGTACAAGTTCTGCTAACAGTCCAACACTTAAATAGATTAAATCATCTGACACATGGTAGGTTTCATATAATGAAAATACCTAAAACAATTAGTGCAATATACTGAACTGATCAAAAAGATGAACTTTGGGAAACAAGGCTGCAAGATTGTTACTAACAATTCGCAATACTTATGTTACAAATTACACATACATTGTTTATTATGGTTCTAGCCTGTGTAGGAACTGAAGCCCCTTTTTTCCAAAGGGGGAGAGAAGGAAAAAAATTAGCTGTTTTAGTAACTGTACATTTTGTATACTTTTAAGCAACTCTTAAATATTACAGAAAAGTAATAAACATATATGAAGACTACAATGCAGTACCCTATTTACAGTACAGCTGAAGAATGAATTTAAAATAATCAAGTTTGAATGTACATAATTGTTAGTGCACTGACTATCTTATGTCCAAAGGGAACAGAAGCCCCTTCTCCCTGCCCTCGAACAGAAAAACCTATGTAATGGTCAGCAGTGATTAAACAGAATCATAAACACCTGCTTTCTCTTGTTGAAGAGCTCATATGTTTGAAGGGAAACATATCCATTAAGATGCATTCATTAGTTTTCATATCCCTAAAACAAGACGGGGTTACAGTAGATATTTTTACCCCTGTGTTTTTATTTTTTTTTTAAAGGAATGGCTATAATTTAGATGCCACTAATGCTCATTCCGTCTCCCTTCCCCCTGAAAATATGGGACTATTTTTTTTCTTGTAGCTAATCTGTTAAAATGTGGAATGTACACTTTAAGTATAGATACTAGGAGAAATTACTGGATGCCTGAGTACTGTAGCTAAGCATAAGTATGTTTAGAACCGCCTTCTAAAAAAAAAAGTGTGTATCTGAAGGCCCAAATTCCTAAGTTCCAAAGCTTTTTGATAAGACTTCTGCATAGAACTGGCTGGTTAATTATGGTTCCAGATAGTTATTTGCCTATATACCTGGGGATGAGAAATGAATATGATCCACCCAAACATTCCAAGGAAACACGTGTACGTAAAGCTCTCATATTCCCTTTCTACTGCTGAAACATTAGCCAGAGGGTCACATGCACATTATTAAAAATTAAGTTCAAAACACTTAAAATAATTCTGTATTAGAAATGACTATCATAAGTCTCTTCTTTTTGGAAGTCATACTGGGCTGGTTAAATGCTCCAATTCCACTGTTAACATTTAGGAAGCAGAAGACTATTCCAGCTAGTTCAAACTGGAGGTTTAGTTACTACAACACTGACTCCTGGTTGGCTGCGTGGGTTCAGTAAGGTCTACTCCCCTTCCTCTGGCAGAATTTGCTCCTGGATTCTGTGGTTCATTCTTTGGCAATTTTTTAGCTGAGAAAAAAATTTATCAAAATAAACACAATTAGAATATTCACATTAGAATTACTTTCTCAGCTTACTGATAAGCTTTCTTTTTGTTATCTCAAAATATCATATAACCATTATGTTCATTATTTTTAATCACTTTTTACTGAGTATTTATTAAATACCAAACCACTGGATCAGCACCCTCAGGAAGTTTAGTGTACTAAAGGAAGGGTAACATGAGGACCAGATACAGACTCACAATTAAAACTTAACTTGATGAAAAATGTAGTTAATTCTTCATACAGACTCACTAACAATAACAGAAAAGTTGTACTTTATTTCATAATCATTCATACTTGTATTATTTAAAGAAAATATAGTAAAGATGGACAGCTAAAATGTTTATAAAACAGCAGCTCAGCTCTTATCAATATTCTTTGGGCTGTCACAAAGACTTTTAGAACAAATCAGGATAATCACCACCACTGCAGCAGAACTTGTCCTCTACCATGCAATCTACTTATCACCCAGAATTACAGCAGATTACATGTCCCATTTTCTTCCTGGCTTCCACAGACTCCACATTTCAAACCTCTGCCATTTTCCTTTCTTGTGGCTGATTAAAACCCTAATCTGATTCACAGTTCTGACTAAAATAAGTGGACTTGATTCTGAGGATCAAAAACTCTCCCAATTTTGGGTCCTCCCTGGTGGCGCAAGGGGTTAGGCACCGCACTATGAAGCAGTTCGCAGTCTCTGCAGCTCGACTTCGATCCCCAGCCAGCCAGGGAATAGCTCACATGGGGCAGCAGACCTCTCCTGCCTCACCCGCTGCTCCCCTCAGCAGTGTATTTCAGTCAGTCTGCCTGTTCTGTTCCCCACTCTGTCTCTGGTGAATCCTCTCACCCCTCACATCTCTGGCCTGTATACCAGCTCTTGTATGCATAAATAAATAAATCTTTATATAAAAAACTTTCCCAATTTTAAGTCAGGTAAACATGGCTTGCCATACACTTAGACAAAAGCTTCTCAACCAATAGATTATGAGATTTGCTCTGTTAAAGCTAATGGATATTCTCTGGAGTTTTTTTCACTGATTTAGAATAAAAACGATGTAGTAGATGTAATATGATTTGAACCCTAAGATTCTTGATATACAGGATTTATGGTGGGGAGAGTGGTTTCTCTAAGAGTACGAAGTTTAAGGGAAGCTGGAAATGACCTTTTATTAATTTTGGATACAGGCTACTATGCATGACTCTAGCTTTAATTTAGCTTTGGCTTAGGTTACAGAAAAGTTGAAAATGCTCAACCTTGAAATCTGATTGTCTAGTAAAATCTTTTATCCTCTTTAGTTTTAATATTCTATATCAGCAAATCCTAGATGATGGGCTGGACAATGGATTGGAGAATAAGGAGCACTAAGATTTAGGAAGAAAAGGTTTCATACCTTGGGCCCCTTCTCTAGGAATAACTCATTGGAGGGAGGGTACCTAACTGGTAATAATGGAAAATTCTCAGTTAAAAAAACTTAAAAAAGCCTATAGGGACAAAGAGTGTGCTAGCATTATAAACTTTATTATAACTGATATTATTATTGGTTTGCCCTGATCTTTGGCATACTTCAAAGACTCAATATTTCAGATCTGAGTGAAATTAGGAAGCTGAAGACAATACACTGGAATGAGTGCTCAACTTCTACTGGCTAATTTTTATGGTATAAGGATAAACTAAACACATCTTAGGATTGTGAGAAGTTGTATTGTGTCTCTTATCGAGTATAAGCCAAAGTGAACTTGGTGCTCTTTTGGGTATGTATAAATGCAGCTTACCAATTTGTCTTTGATTAGGTTTGTGAGGAGCTAAAAATACTACATTTAAATTAATGAAGATTATAAACAGTTAAAGACATGCAGACTTAACAAATTAAAAGTAAGTAACTTTATTGTAGATGCTCTCTCACTAAGTGCAATACTTTTAGGAAGTCATCAAAAGTAAAAACATGAGTATGTTGTGTGGTTTATTAAGTTATCAATCTGGTAAAAGAAAGGATAGGCCATAGTTCAGTTTACACCTGGGATTTATTTCAAGGAAAAAATATTCTAATTTTATTTTATTTTATTTTATTTAAAGATTTATTTATTTATTTATTTATTTATACAAGCACTGGGTACAGTCAGAAGTGCAGAGGGTGAGAGAATTCACCAGAGCCAGAGGGGAGAGCAGAGCAGGCAGAGTGACGAAGTACACTGCTGAGGGGAGCAGTGGGCGGCAGGAGAGGTCTGCGTGCCATGTGGGACCCTCGCCCGGCAGCTGGGGATCGAACCGGTGCTGTAGAGGCTGTGGCCAGCTTTGCAACCCAGCGCTCAACCGCTGCGCCACCCAAAAACATTCTAATTTTAGAAAAATAATTGAAAGTACTAATATGCAGACTATGTTCTGATTTCAAAAAAAGGGGCAGCAAAACCGTTTTTATAGCACATTTGAATCAAAAGTACAAATGAAGTCCATCTGATGAAGTCTTAATAAAGGTTTAAAGTTAAGTCTGATTCGGGCCTCCCTGGTGGAGCAAGAGGTTAAGCACCGCACTATGAAGCAATACGCAGCCTCTGCAGCACGAGTTCAATCCCCAGATGGCCAGGGAGCAGCCCACATGGTGAAGTGGACCTCTCCTATCTCGCCCGCTGCTCCTCTCTCAGCAGTGTGTTTTGGTCAGTCTGCCTGTTCTGTTCCCCACTCTGTCTCTGGTGAATCCTATCACCCACCTGCATCTCTAGCCTGTACCCCATATCTTGTATGCATAAACAAACAAATCTTTTAAAAAAAAAAAAAAGTTAAGTCTGATTTGAGGAACCTATTATCTTCTTGTTTCCTGTTAACTTTTTAATGTGGTTCTGCATATATCGGTTTTTTAACTGATTGCTGCACAATCCTTTTTACAGCTATGCTATTACTTCTCCAAGAAATCATAAACCCTTTTTTAAATTTCTTTTTCCAAAGATTTATTTTACTTAAGCATATAAGAATTGGGGTCTAGGCCACAGGTGCAGGGCGGGTGAGAGGATTTACCAGAGACAGAGTGGGGAGCAGAACAGGTGGATCTACTGAAATACACTGCCAAGGGGAAGCAGTAGGCAAGACAGGGGAGGTCTGCTGTGCCATGTGGGTTAGCTCCCTGGCTGGGGATTGAACTCAGGCCACAGTGGCAGGTGATAGCTTGATAGTGCTGAGACTAACCCATGCCACCAGGGAGGCCGAAACCTGATTATCTAAGGAAAATACGAACAGGCAGATTTTTCCTGATTAAGTCACCATTAAACACTCTCACTTTGAGAAAGATAATTCTGAGAGTTCTTGCCACTTTCAGTGAGTATTCTTTAGCCTCTGACAAGCTGTCAATTCATTAAATTGCCATATAAAAGACTATTTCTTATTTGGGAATAGGACTGTGGGCACTCCAGTTAATACTACTGCATAGTAAAAGATATTATGGAACAAGGAGTGCTGGACACATGAATACTGTGGAGGCAAGTAAAGAGGAGAGCTGCCAAAGTAGATCCTTCATAAAATCCCCACCTTAAAATTACTAGGAGATAAGGCCAACAGGAATACTTTCACTCTTTTTTGTTATAGGAAAAAAAAGGACGTTTCCTAATTACTCCTCCAATTTTATTACAACCAGCAACTGTGGGACAGTTAAAACTTAAAAGGGGGTTGGAGGCCTCCCTGGTGGTGCAAGAGGATAAGATGCAATCTATGAAGCTATTTGTAGCCTCTGCAGCACAAGTTCAATCCTCAGCCGGCCAGGGAGCAACCCACATGGCGCGGCAGACCTCTCCTGATTCACCGTGCTGCTCCCCTCAGCAGTGTATTTCAGTCAATCTTCCTGTTCTGCTCCCTGCTCTGTCTCTGGTGAAACCCAGCTCTCACCCTCCTGCACCTCTGGCCTATAACCCAGCTCTTGTATAAAAATAAATAAATCTTAAAAAAAACACAAAAACAAAGAACCCACAACATATGAAGCTGTCCGCAGCCACTGCAGCACAAGTTTGATCCCTAGCTGGCCAGGGAGCAACCCACATGGCGCGGCAGTGGGTTGACTCGCCATGCTGCTCCCCAGTGTATTTCAGTCAATCTGCCTGTTCTGCTCCCTGCTGTCTCTGGAGAATCCTCTCACCCCTCTGGCCTGTACCCCAGTTCTTCTATGCATAAATAAATCTTTGGAAAAAAAAAAAAAACCTTAAAATGGGGCCTCCCTGGCGGCACAAGGGGTTAAGATGCAACATATGAAGATATCTGCAGCCACTACAGCATGAGTTTGATTCCTGGCCAAGGAACTACCCACATGGCGCAGCAGACCTCTCCTGTCTCACCAGCTGCTCCCCCCTCAGCAATGTATTGCAGTCAATATGCTTGTTCTGTTCCCCACTCTGTCTCTGGTGAATCCTCTCACTCCCCACACCTATGGCCTGTACCCCAGTTCTTGTATGCATAAATAAATCTCTAAAAAACAAACAAACTTAAAAGTACTTCAAAGGGATAGTTAAAAGTCAAAGGTTCCTTAAAGGAAAGGCAAGAGCACTCTGTTCAGATAACCATTGAGGTAATAGGGAGTTTAGATGTGGTTTTGCCTTCCCTCTCTCTATGCCCCAATTCTGAAACTTTCTTTACGATGTTTATATTAAATGTGTCGATCTGTATCATGCATTTCTGTTAAATTTGAGGTCTCTGTTAATTTTGCCAAGTAATCAATGATTCAAAAAACTTGAAAAACAAAAACAGTGCTCTATTTTTGTTTTTTGAACATCTGTTTTTTTTTTTTTAATTTATTTATTTATGCATACAAGAACTGGGGTACAGGCCAGAGGTGTGGGGGTGAGAGGATTCACCAGAGAGAGTGTGGAACAGAACAGGCAGATTGACTGAAATATACTGCTGCAGGGAGCAGCGGGTGAATCAGGAGAGGTCTGCTGCGCCATGTGAGGAGCTCCCTGGCTGGGGATCAAACTCGTGCTGCAGTGGCTGTGGATAGCATCATAGGTTGCGTCCCAACCACTTGTGCCACCCGGGAGGCCCTGAACATCTAAGAGATGAAAAGAGTTATTGATCAGTGAGGAAAAAATCTCATTATACCTAAATGTCACACTGAAAACTATCTTCCTTTCCATAAAAAAGTATAATCTAATGAAAAAAATACATCAAAATTTCTCCATATAGCAAAATGTCTCCATGAATAATAGAAAATTATCCCATCATGGGTATTATATAATGACTACAACCAAACTTCTTAGAAGTTTGTCTGCTTAGACTACCAGCTCAAAGTGTAGGCTTTCAACTTCCCTGAAAGACCCTTACCTGAACTAAAGGGATATAATAAGTAGTAATTTTTCGCATTTAGCAGTAACACCAACAAAATAATGCTTGGTAGCACAGACTGAGAAAGGCAGTACAATCATTTAAAAAAAGAAAATACAACAATTTTGAAAGACTGTCAAACTGCGTATGTTCTAGTATAAACGGTTTTGCCCACATTAATCATTAGAATAAGCAAATCTTACCTATTGCCATGAATATTTCATTTACATTCATTGATGTTTTAGCTGATGTCTCCATGAATAATAAACTGTTGTCATCTGCATAGGACTGTGCTTCCTGTTGTAGGAAAAAAAAAATATATCCTTTGCATATGCTATATTGAAATGTTATATGGTTGGGTCATATTTGACTGTAATTGAAATGCTCTATCTAGCACTCTACAGTGGGGAGGCATATTAGAGCAATAATATATGTACCTCACATAGTTGTCACAAGAATGAAGTGAAACCAAATGTACCATACACTTAGAACCTAATGATGAAAAAAACAGTAGTTCCTTTCACTCCCATCTAGTTACATTTAAAATAGAAATTTATCCCATCGTTAGTATTATATAATGACCCCAACCAAACTTTTTTGGGAGAGAAGGTGAAGAGAAACAGGGGGACTTTTAAAATGTTTAAGTAGAGGTATTTGCTTAGTTTTAAATGATGATACTTTCTCTCTTTTGCACAGGAAACATTTTTAATTAACGATTAATTAGATAGTAGATAAACCACAGGATGTGTAGCTGTGGTTATGTGTATGTGTAGGGGTAGAGGTACTAGGATAGAAGGCAACCAACTACCTTTTACTTTATGTATTTCTGCACATCAACAATTACTTATTTTGTAATTGTTTAGGTCTCTGAATCACAATGCATACATCACAATTATGTAAAGCTATCTAAAGATAATTTATTATAGTATATATTTGTTTTTGTAATCTGTATTATTTGCATGGTTTTAAAGTTATAATTCAAGTATACATACATAAGAAACATTTGCAAAAATATATGTGCCTTCAAGTTAAAGTTAAATCCAACATACCTGGAAATCAACAGCTCTTTTATTTGCAAGGTCAGCCTTGTTTCCTGATAAAGCTATTACAATGTTAGGACTTGCTTGCCTCTGAAGTTCTTTAACCCAGTTTTTGGCTCTGGCAAAGGACTCCTAGGAAACAAAGACATACCCATTTGGCATAGGCTCAAAAATGGTTAGTGATATTTTTGTAAAGCAAGACTTTATAGATTATCTAGTATGACTCTCAGAAATTCATAGGACTTTGTTATTTTTAAAAAAATTAGCTCTTCAAACTCGAAGAGCTTTTCAAAATTGAAATTGTGATTACAAAAATGAATGAACATTAAAATTAGCATTACTGCATTTCTACTTACCTCATTTGTGATATCATATACAACTATGGCTGCTTGTGCTCCTCTGTAGTACATTGGTGCTAGGCTATGATATCGCTCTTGACCAGCTGTATCCCATATTTCAAACTTTACTGTTGTGTCATCAAGACACACGGTTTGGGTAAGAAAAGCAGCTGAAAGAAGAAAATTCTGCAGTAAGTTTATCATTCCCCCCCCAAGCATTTTCACAATATAGGATAAAGAAGCATGAAAACCTGGTATGTCGCAGAACCACAGTTAATAGTGCCTTTAAATATTTGTGACTTCAAAGTTTCACATAAGACGTTCACAGTAAAAGCACAGATCTTTTTCCTGCATTATTAAAAAGCCTGTTATAATATTTAAATAATTTTGACACTGTTCTACAAATTATTGTAAAATGATCTTACAAACTGTAAACACACACACACACACACACACACAACACAGGAAGTTCCCTTTTTACTGTCTGAGATTTCAGTTACCTAGTAGGGTCAAATGCTGTCTCAAAATAAGGTATTTTAAGAGAGGAAGATCACATTCACATAACTTTTATTAAAGTATATTGTTATAATTGTTCATTATTAGTTGCTGTTCATCTCTTACTGTGTCTAATTTATAATTTAGGTGTGTATGTACAGGAAAAAAACTATGGGTACAGGGCTTGGAACTATTTGATTTCAAACATCTACTGGTGGCCTGATAATGTATCCCCTGAAGATAAGGAGAGACTAAAGTACTGACATATTTGAAACTTGGAGAAAAGCTGTTTGTAACTACCATCTACATTGCCAACACCATACCCTCTGCTCCATTCTCTGATATTTACTGCTATACCTTAGGGATTTAGTCCCAGTCCACTACCATTAAATATTTTTGTTAATTATTATTCCTTCAAAACATTATGATACTATCATTGTTATTACTTCGGTCAAGACTTAACTTGCTTACTCCTAGATCTTTCACTCTTTCCAGGAAGAATTTTTTTGGATTGTTCCTTTCCATCTGTTCTTTTTTCAGATTTTAATGATCACTTTATAATACTTTTGCTTTTAAAATTAAAATTACTGTCAGCTCTCACAAAGAATTACTGCATCACTTATTTTCTGAATTTGCTTCATGTCTACTATAAATATAAATCTCTTGGCTCTAGGAATAAACATTCTTATACCACAACAGAAAGTTATGAAAACTAAGAAGCTGACTTACAAAATATGGATTTTTAATCAATCATATCAACTAAGCTTTAAACTAACTATTAGAGTAAGTTTCTAAAGGTGGCTAGTTTTACTAAAGATACTTGTGTACAGCATGTTCACACAGCCATTTATTTTTAGCAGCATGCGGGTATGACCACAACCACACCTCAGAGCATCTGTTTCCCTCATCACCTTTGGCAGCTGGACCCCTGATGCTGTAGTCATTCATCATAAGCTGATATGCTCCTTCCATCCCTTTTACTTTCGGCTCAAGATATGATATTCAACTTTTTTCCTAAATTGGCATGGATTTATAGTTATAAAGTTTTCTAAAACTGTCACGTTATGCAAAAGAATTACAATTAATTTCTCTGCATAGTAGCAGTATCTTAGGGATAGCAATTTTTCAAAAGAAATTTACTAATCAAATGTGCCAAAGTAGTCAAGTCTAATCAGATTATCTCTTTTATATTAGACATAATTCATTTTTCATGTTTTTATTAGTAGTTCAAGTGGCGGCTGCTGCAATTATCAGCAACTGCTGGTACCTGCAACTGTAATCTTGATTTCTCAAACATCAAAATTGGAAATGTCTATTTTAAGCAAGAGTCTAATAAACAGTTCTATATTTAAAATATGTTCTAATTCAAACCTGCCTCACCATACAAAATTAGTGAAAATCTCTATTTCTGAAATCCTGTATTTATGGTAAATACTGAGAAAGTGCTGTTACTTTTTCAGTCATGAATGGTTCTCCTGTAGAACCAAAAAAACCAAAAAATTAAGCACTTAAAATTAAGTCTTCACTTCTTTTTCAATAAAAAGAAAAAATAGGACAGGAATCAGAAAATAACCCTTATCTCAAGAATAGCTTGAATCAATGTGAAAAAGTGGATTATTTACATTCAGACTTTGTTTTCTCTCAAGACATAGTATGACCACAGAATACACTGGTAAGAAAAACATTTACACTTCCTTAAATCAACTTCAAGCGAGGGAATATATAATCTGATTCTCAAACCAGTTTAAGCTATCACAAAGGTCACCAATCTTTTTATATAAACACATTTACAAAATTCCTAATAAGACACAGGAAAAGAAAATGCAACCAACATATTAAAAGAATAGTCCACAACTAGGTTGAGATTTCTTTCAGAAATACAAAGCTGTTACACAACAGTAGGTTAAAAAAGAAAAAAAAAATCACATTATTTAAATAACAAAAGGAAATCTGAGTCAACAACCATTATCATGTATTTAATAGTCTTCCTTCAAATCTAGCTGTCTACTCCCTAAGTTTAAAAAAAAAAAATCAACATTTCATTCATAGGCAGTTCTGTGTAAATCTAGAAACAAAACAAGAATATTTACTGCTGGCACTATTATCATTTCAGATATCATTATAATTATAAAAGTAATAGCTTACTAGAGATTGTTTGAAAGAGGCAAGTTGGACATGAAAATCAGCTAAAATAAAGATGGGTAGTTCTTTAATTGGCTGTTACACATCAAATTCAGTAACCCTTACAACATACTGACACTGACCAGGATTTTTCCAGTATTTGCTGGGAGGAGAATGGATGCCAATAATACCTACAAAGATCAATTTACTCAACTCTTACAAACCCTCCTTCATCCCACCCTATTTTAGCGACTCCTACCTCTGCAGTAACATATTTTACACCTTTTATAACCTCTAGTTTGTATCATCTATTTCTTCTCCTAGACTAGGAGTTAGAGGAAAAATTGTTAGCTATTATTTTTTATATACTAAATAATATAAACAAACCATAGCTCTATAGACATTTAAAATGCTTGCTCAAAAACAAAGTTCATTTAAAAAAAAAAAGGGTATGTGCAACCATTTTTGGACTGTTTTGGTAACATCTGAATACAGTTCCCATGTGGAAAAAAATAGGCATTACAAAAAGTTTATGTAACCAATACAATCTCAAACAAAATATCACCAAGACCTTTTAAACTTGACAACACTGTGTTACTGTTGTGGTTGTGTATATAGTATAAGCAGAACTTAATTTTAGAAGAGAAATAAAAGACCAACATTAGGTCAGAGGAATAAACTTTTAAGTGTATGAAAAACATATGAAAATTAGTGTGTTGTAATGTCACAAAGACAAACTTTACGGGAATAGGAAAACCCACCACCATAATAAATTCTTGATATACATTACAAGATGGTCATGATTACCCAAAGTGCTCAAGCTTTCAAATGCCCCTAAAGCATTTAACTTCTCCCATAAAAATTCAGTTAAGTATAGCCACATCTTCAAATCCTTAGTGCTTCTAAAATACATTACTAGTCACATATATAAAGTCATAAAAATAAATTCTGGCACTCAAAATAGAAACTACATCAATAGCAACAACATTAACCAACCACAAACTTACCTGAATCTTCAAAACCACTTTAATTTATCCAAAACGTCTATTTTCTGGCTAAGAACCATCACTTTCTTAGACCTCTTCATTTTCTCTTCACTTCCATCACCAGCACTAGCAGTTGGTTTTCTTTTTCGGGCCCATATTTCACAAAGAAACAGCTTTTATCACTTCGAGAGTTACTGTGTACGCGACGACAAGTAGAGAAAAACAAAGCTGCGTTGAGATGCGGGTGCTGGCCTGTCTAATAGGCTCCTCCTTTGAGCTCTTGTTAAGACCAGTTCCTATTTGTAAGCCTGGCAGCAGCAAGTTAACATTTCAGTCTCAGCAAAACTACAAATACTGAATCATAGTCCTTGGGGCCAGCTGAGAATAGCTGAAACCATATAAAGGTTAATTTACAAATAATGAAGGCCTAAAATGTCTAAGATCTTAATAATTGAAGAGATACTGCAATACACTGGGCAAGGGAAAGACTATCAAAATCAGTAACATTAAGTGAACACTCGCAACTCATTAAAGAAAGATTTAAAATCCCTTAAGCTAAAATGATTCTACATTAATGAAATATTTGGGCAAAAAAGTGAAAAAAAAAAATCACCCAAGCCATAAACTTATTCTCAAATGTTGACAGAAAAAAATTTATTAGAATTGAGCAAAAATTCTGTGTAAGACTATCAAGTCTGGTTACATAAAGATCTGAGACTTTTACATAAAAATCTGAGAGTTTAAATTTGCAAACATAAAACCAAAATACAGGGATGAAAGATTTTGGAAACTTTCTACAGTAATTAAGGAATCAATATTTTTAACACATAGAAAGTTCATATAAAATTCAAGAAAAAATCTATTAAGTGCCAAGGGTAAATGTGAAAAGAAAATTCCTTCACAAAAAGAATATAGAGGAAAAAGAGTCAACATTACTAAAAGCCAACAAAATCATATACACAGTAAATATACTTGTTTTATCATATAATAGCAGAATGAAAAAGTGAAAATAAAAAAGAGGGAATAGCAAAAACTCAAGCTATACCGGTGATATTGTATAACTCTTTGGGAAATAATTTTGTTACCATGTGGCAAAGTCATGAAAATGCTGATATTTATTAACATACATCATGGAATCTCCAAAAGATGGTGTGAGGGGCCAGAAAAACAGGGAGATGAAAAGTTTATGCTCAAAGAATTAATTAGAAATAATTAGAAATTAGAATTAATTAGAAATAATCTAAATGTGTAAAAGAAAAGTTCTGGTGGTTTGGTAAACATTAAGTAGCAATTAAATTAAAAATGATTACAAATGATCTATTTAACTGCCATAAAGTAAAATTTATGTAAAAATTTCTGTAGGAACAGGATACATCTATTTTAAAATGTGAATAGAAGAGCAGAGAAAAAACTAAAATAATATTAGTCTATTGTATTGTCCCCAAGTCAAGGTTCTCATTTGATGGGTGGTAGGACTTGAACAAGTAGCATTTATCAGTTTGCTTAGAAAATGACCATCAATACCATTTAATCTAAGAGAAAAATTTTTCAAGAAAAATGAGCACCAA